CATAGTAATCACTCAGAACGGTAAAGTTTGAATGATGCAGCATTGGACTGAGGAAAACTAATATGTTCAATCGAACGCTCATATTTCTGAGTCGTGAAACGACAAGTCCTACAAGTTTACTTAAAACCCTTATATACACCTGGAACATTTATATTTGAGAACGTAACTGCTGGTGATTTTAAAATACACAAAAATACCAGAATACAATTAATTAACAAAGGAACTGTGGAGCTTTTTACAAAACACTTTCCATAGGACACTGGTGAGTAACATATATGCGACGAGTATCCAATCTTTGTGACAAGCTAATATTCGATTGATTCCTTTGCCCTCGCACGCTGACGCTATGATACGATTCCAAAACTTCGCTGTCAACCAAGGTAGGCAGATCAGCTACTCCCCTACACTAATCTAAGTTGAATTAATAGTTGATTAGGAGCTCATTTTTCTTGAGTACAGTTGAGTGCGTTGCTAGGATCATTCATGGCAAGAATATGATTGCACTACACGTCACAATTTATAAACAATCAAGTCGTTGTATTTATCAAGGTTAGATATAGTCAATATAAAAGTGACATATGTATATCTTACGTAATAACGTGAACAAGTAAGAAATTTGTAATGAACCAACCTACAACAATTTGTCAGTTTGCGGAATTAAACAATAGTTATTGTACATTAGATAACTCAGTTATGCAAGTCCAGGTCGATTTCAAAATAGAAAAATTATTTTTATAGCCCCAGGATTAATTAATTTACCTCCGTATCAGTCGATTTAGGTCTTTCTACAGGCTGAAACGGTTTAAATATTTATGGAATGAATAGGAGAAACCTTTATTTAATGGGCTTCCATATCTAGTAGCAGAGGATCACCGATTCCTCCAGGTTGGAACCTGGGTGTTTTAGGAGTTATAAAGAAAAATATTAGTGAGTTATAATGAGACAACATTCTGAGCCCTTTCAAGTATATCAAGTTTGTTCGTGAAAGACTCCAATGTAAATACTTTCATTTGACTACTCGTAAAGTTGAGAACGTTTACCTATAGCCCGTTCTACTGCACTAGCTTCTGGATATCTCTAGCTTCTGGATATCGCCTTTGCGTGTGTATTTGGACTGAGCTTACATCAGTACACTCCAGGTATCTATAAAAATTGTTGCTGTGGTTGTTAAAAGAGAAGAATCTTGACTTTTGAATGAAGATTCTTCGATTCGGAGGGCAGAGTGAAGATGCCACAGGTGTTTAAAGCTTGACAACGCTTTAACCAGTAACACCTTCTAATATAAAGCGTACCCATCAAGTGGAATCAAAAGACAGAAACGAGGAAACTGGAAGATATATTTGTTAGGCTATCAACATATCGAGGATCGTCTGATCTAATCTGGCTAGCGATTGCACGGGTTGTTGAGCACGGTGTTCCCACTCGTGATCTGGTGCGGATGCCTGACCGAGCGCCTCCAGCTGGGTGAGTCCATTAAAACATATGGTCAGCATTCGATGACGAAAACTTACAGAGCTATTTATTTTGGGGATTTATTTACCGCTACAGATCACTCCCCCCAGTGGGGTGGTGATAAACCTAAGACGTGGCCAGCCAGAAGTTTAAACCCAACGAGTTGTTTGTTGGTCAACACTCTTCTGATAGCTTGCTGGGTTTAGCAGCGTCCGGTCGTCTTTCCTTACTATAAGGGACCATGAAGTACAAAATAGTGAAAAAAAGTACAATGAAAATTTTGGTTCCTCGTAAATCTCATCGTTCTTTTCAACATCTTTTCCAGCAGTCCTGTAAAAAAGAAAAAAGAATATGTAATTGCATGCCGAAATAAACTCGTACGCACTTTAAGACACAAAGTTGGAGGAAAACGGAAAATAAACTCATGTACATGTGATAGCGTAAAAGCGAATTTCACAAAATGTTTTCTTAAAAATTTTTTAATATACATATTAGCAGAATAATAAGTATGTATAAATATAAGCGTATAAAAATCAATTTTTTTATTATTATATGTAATGCCATGGAAAATCGAGATGGAGCAAAATGTTAACTGGTGTCTTACGTGCAATAGCCGTTTACATGTTCTGGAAATCTTTCTCTTCTTCCAGAACGCGTTGTTTTAGATTTATTTACAGATACTGTCGAATAGTCATCGTGCGTGTTGGCTGCCGGATGAGGTATTATAAGTGTAGGAGCCGTGTCGTTCGATTGTACCGAAAGAAAATCGACGTATAGAGGATTTCCTTCTAAATACGCTTCTTTGAGGAGATTGATGCTGATGTGATCGTTGGTTCCGTTCTCATCGATTATATAGTACTGAGGTTGGCGTTGAAGAACTTTGAAAGGTCATTCGTATGCTGATTCGAAAGGTCGTCGATGCAGCCCTCGATATACGAAGACGCGTGTACTAAATTGTAAGTCAGGTTGAACGAAAACATCAGTTGATTGCAGTCGAGTGGAAACAGGTTTAACTGAACGCATTGCGTTTGTAAGCCTGTTCGTTAAGAGGTTAGGTCTGTGCTCATTGAAGAGGATGAAAGATCCACGAATTCTCCCGGAAGTCGAAGTGTCGTTCCATAATCGAGTTGAGCCGCAGTGTAACCAATGTCAGCTTTCACTGCATTGAGGATACCTAGTAGGACGAGTGGAAGAGCGTCGGTCCATTGTGAAACGTTTGCAGCTGATAGTGAAGCTTTTAGTTGTCGACGAAAACGTTCTACCAACCCGTTTGCTTGTGGGTGGTAGGCAGTCGTTCGGACGCGAGTGCTTCCTAATAGTGTGGTCAGACGACGGAAAAGTTCAGATTCAAACTGACGTCTGCGGTCTGTAGTGATGGTTGAAGGGCAGCCGAAGTTTCCTACCCATCGTTCGACGAAGGTGCGGGCCACTGTTTCAGCAGTGATGTCCTTGATAGGTACAGCTTCTGGCCATCGAGTGAAACAGTCTACGCAGGTTAAGAGGTAAGAGTATCCATTTGAATCTGGTAAAGGTCCTACCAAATCCAGATGAACATGGTCGAAACGAGCATCGGGAGTTTTAAATGAGCCTAAGAGACATTTATTGTGGCTGATAAACTTGGATTTCTGGAAGAGTACACAGGAGCGTGCCCACTCGCTCACGTCTTTATTCATACCAGGTCAGCAAAACCGTTGTGCTATAAGCTTGATGGTTGCACGAACACCTGGATGAGAAAGTTTAAGCAATGTATTGAAGACGTTGCGTCGACAATGATTCGGCACGATTGGGTGATCCCTACCTGTAGATGTGTCACAAAGTAAGGTTTCCTTACCTGTTCCTATCTGTTTGATGCATAGTTTGAGGGTTGTGGACGATAACTCGTGCTGAAGATCAGTGTCTTCTTTTTGAAGCTCGGCGAGTTTCAGAAGGTCGATTCCTTGGAAACTGTTCAAAGAAGTTATTTGATACAAGGCGTCTGCGACTGCATTGCTTGCTCCAGAAATATGTTGAATATCTGAAGTAAACTGCGAAATGCAGTCCAGTTGTCGAGACTCAAGGGGAGAGTACTTCGCTCAAGGAGAGTTTAGAGAGAAAGTGAGCGGCTTATGGTCCGTGAAAAGAGTGAATTCACGACCTTCGATATAGTGTTGGAAATGCCGTACGCACAAAACATAGCTAAGAGTTCCCTACCGAATGTGCTGTACCTCGATTCGGTGTCTAGCAACCGTCTAAAGAAAAATGCTAAAGGTAGCCAGGAGTTGTTAACCCATTGTTGTAAGACTCCTCTGACTGCTGAGTCGGATGCGTCTACGGTGATACTAATGGGTGCTTCAGTGTCTGACGAGCAAGCATTGTTGCTTGAGCAATAAGTTCCTTTACTGTGGACAATGCTTTTCGTGCGGTGTCTTCCAGATCGATGGATTT